AATTTGTCAAACCACAAAATTTACATATCAAATCGAATTTCTTGAAATGAGAAACCCAAAATGACCAAATTACTCTTAAATTTTTGAAATTCTAAGGCTTGTAGATATAAATGCTCTTCAATGTTTCATATCCGAAGTGTTATATCGCGGGTTGACTCTTACTTGAATGGTTGACCTGCATTTATTGACCTAGAAGGTTAAATCGTAAACTCTAACCACATGGAAGAAGATTTATTTGCAGAAAACTCTATTTTTATTTGTATATGGTATAATTCGTTCTTGTTTTGCTTTACTTTTTTACAGAATTTGTTTATGAAAATCAACACTAGAATTGAATGAGATTGAATTAGTCGATGCAGCTACCGACATAGAATTGCGTGTCTCCTGCAAAAAAATACTCCACATTGATTATCACTATGTCATAAAAATTAAAAACTATGTCCAATGCTCCTCTCTGAAACTCTCCATTGCGTAACCCATGTGAAGATGATGCCTTCATCAACACACAATACTGTAGTATAAACAAAACAGTGAATCGCAACCATATTTTTAAAAAATTTACGTGTTTCCTTAAAAAAACCCAATATCGACGACGAAACCATAATTTTCATTGGTTGTTCTAACCAAAACAACATAAATTTACAGCTGTCAAAATCTTTTGAGAGCTTATCTATAAATATACTCCATTGTATCATCATCTTCTTCTTCACGTGAACAAAAACAAAAAAAAATGGCGACTGATTCGCAACCAAACCAAAAGCTAACGATTCCATTAAAAACCAGAATCGCTCTCTCCCTTATCTCCACCTTCACCGATAATGCTCAACGTCCCGACGGTTCAATCAACCGTCGTTACCTCCGCCTCTTCGATTTTCGTGCTTCTCCCAATCCTAAACCAATCAACACCGTCTCTTCCTCCGATTTCGTCGTAGATCCATCCCGTGATCTCTGGTTCCGATTGTACACTCCACACGTCTCCGGCGACAGTATTCCCGTCGTCGTTTTCTTTCACGGCGGAGGTTTCGCTTTCTTAAGCCCTAATTCGTATCCTTACGATAATGTATGCCGCAGATTCGCGAGGAAATTACCTGCTTACGTCATCTCCGTTAACTACCGTCTAGCTCCGGAGCATCGTTACCCAGCTCAATACGACGACGGATTCGACGTGTTGAAATTCCTCGAGGAGAATCGCGACACGGTGCTCCCGGCGAACGCTGATCTGTCGAGATGCTTCCTCGCCGGAGACAGCGCCGGTGGAAACATCGCTCACAACGTATCGATCAGAATCTGTCGCGCTAATTTCACCGCCATGAAACTCATCGGACTCATCTCGATCCAACCTTTCTTCGGCGGTGAAGAGAGAACTGAAGCGGAGAAAGTCCTCGTCGGAATGCCTCTGGTTTCGCCGGATCGAACGGATTGGTGCTGGAAAGCGTTGCTTCCGGAGGGATCAAACCGTGACCACGAGGCGGCGAATCCAAGCGCCGGCGATATTTCGGATCTGGATTATCCGGAAACGATGGTGGTTGTGGCCGGGTTCGACCCGTTAAAGGATTGGCAAAGAAGTTACTACGAGTGGGTAAAGTTAAACGGGAAAAGAGCAACACTAATCGAGTATCCAAACATGTTTCATGCGTTTTATATCTTCCCTGAATTACCGGAGTCAGGTCAGTTAATCCAACGGATCAAGGATTTTATTACGGAGCGCGTGGCTTCACTCTCCGGTTAATCAGAACCGTCCCTTAAATTATAGTACAATGTTGTTTTTCAAATATGGACTTAATGTTATAAATTAACTCGATTAATAATGCATTAAGCTATGGTTATGTGTGTTAGTGTTCTAAAAAACGGTGTACGCGGATAATTCTGATGTATGCTTACTCTATTTACGCTTAATATAGTGTTCAAGTTATTTACTCCTTGAGCTTGAAACATTGGAATTTAAATTTGGTAGTCAAATATAAACACAATGTTTCAATTTTATGTTGGATATATGCTCCAATAATACGATGTTTAGAATAAATACTCAAGTGATATTTTATCCGATGACATGTTGTTATACTATAAAACAACACAATTAGGTAGGTGCAGGGGTGGAATTATTATCCGAGATCTGATCCGTTATCCGTTCGGAATCGTTCCGAAAATTAGGATATCCGGGGAGTCCGGATCCGGATAAGGATAGTAAAATCTAGGATCGGTGAAAAAAGAATCCGGATCCAGATAGCAAAATTTTAATGTCCGGATATCTGGATCCAGATCCAGACGAATTAAATATATTAAAAATATATATATTATATATCTATTAAACTAATTTTATATAAATAAATTATAAATATATATAAAAATTGATTTTAGTTCTTTTTATAATAAATTATATTTATAATGAAAAATACCATTTAAAATATTAACTAATAATTTTTAAAAATATATTTTTATTTATTAATTATTTTAATTATTTTTAATATTAATTTCGGATCCGAATCCGGATCCGGATATTCGCGGATATACTGATTTTTGGTCGGATATCTAGAGCCCGGATATCCAGA